GACATCCGAGAGATAGCACTCTCGGGCCATCCTCTGATCTCCCCTTAGGGAGCCGACTGTTCCATTATCCCTCTCAAACTTAAGCAGCATAAGAGACGGGATTATAACAGCCTTGGAATTATTCAGGGTTGGTCGACCCAGAATCATGTTGTAGGCCGAGAGTTCCTCTACTACTAGGAACCGGACTACCATGTGTCGCCCTTCTCCTTTTTCGCCCAGGCGGATGGGTAAATCTACTCGTCCCAGTGGGTGGACGACTCCTCCTCCAAACCCTATTAAAGGGTGGGAGGCCGGATGTATGCAGTCCGTCTGATATTTCAGTTTTGACAGACATTTGCTGCTGATGAGATCTGAGGAGCTCCCGGTATCTATGAGGATTCGGCCAACTCTCTGGTTGGCCACTTTACATTCAATAACAAGAGGGTCATCATGCGGCCCCCTTACCCCTCCTAGATCCTCTTCAGTGATGACAATCTCAGGAAACGTATATTTGGACGGCCGTTCTTGGTGAACGGAATTTACATCTAACCGCCTTATATTATCTTTGTTGCCCCTAATAGTGGGGCCGCCTCCTGAGAAGCCGCCTGCAATGGTGTAGACGACTGCATCATCTGTATCGGAACTGTCGGCCTGTTGATTCTTTTTGACCGACTGCTTTTTGGAGGAAGTGTTCCCCGTAGATTTCTTGACATAAGTGTCAAGATCACCTTGCTCAGCCAAGCGGTCTAGGTACCGCATGAGACTGATGCAGTCATTGGTGTGATGACCAACGTCATCATGATAAGCACAGACTTTGTCTTGGTTCCGGTTGTTTGCAGAACCCTTCATGGGGAGCGGCTTCTCAATTGAAAACCGTCCCTTTATTTCTTTTAGGATAAACTGGTTATCCTTGTTAAACACATACTTTGGGGAGTATGGTTTGAATTCTTTTTTCTTCTTCTGGGCCGGCTGTTTAGAGGAATCGGCCGCCCAGACCTCTTTTCTTTTCTCCTCTTTGTGAGACGACTGTTTCTGTCGTCCTTCTCTTTTGTCGAACCTTTTCCCGTCCGACTGTTTTATCGTACACAGATCAGTCGCCTGTATATAGGCTTCTGCTTCAATCAAGGCCTCTTGAAGAGTCGCCACCCTTTTTCGAACTAAGTCAAATTTGAAGGTAGACCCATCTTTGAGACCTCTAAAAAAGTCAGTATAGGCTACCTCATCCGGTAACCCTTGAATCTGTATTCTCATCAGGTTGAACCGCCTGATGTAAGAACGAAGCCCCTCCTTCTCACCCTGCTGAATTGTTCCCAAATCAAGGGTCGTTTTCTTTGCAGGGATGTTCATGGCGAAATTGGAGGCAAACAAGTAAGCAAGCGTCCTGAAGCTGTTTACACAACCAGTCGGCAGGTTGCCGAACCATTGCTGTGCGATTCCCTTGAGAGTCGCTGGGAAACACTTGCACCAAGTGGGATCATCCAACCCTTGAAGGTACATCAGGTTGGTGAATGCCATCAGATGGTCTTCTGGGTTAGTAGTGCCGTCATAGGCGCCTACTAGTACATTTTTTACTTTGGCCGGCTGAGCGGCTTCAGTAATTTCCTTGGAGAAGGCCGACGGCTGTTCACCAAGTCTAAGCAACCGTAGCTGCCAGTCCATAGGTTGGACGTTTTTTGCTGCAGGTCCACCAAATGGAGGTGGCTGCATAAAATACTGTTGTTGCGGCACAAATGGTAAGTTTGGTACCGCTTGGGCACTATGAAAGCCGGACTGACGGGAGGTACCGCCTGACTGACTCTCATGGTACGACTGAGTATGCCTCATGGAGGTATTTTGTAAACTTTCTTGAAAATTTGAAGTAGAGGCCGACTCTGACAGTCGATCACTCTTCTTCCGTTCTAACAGCAGACGAGCGTCTGTGTATGTTTTCTTCGACCCGTCCGCCTGAATGTGACGAACAGGTTTCCTATTTCCCGTAGGATAACGGAATTTTGTGAAATCAAGAGCAAGTGGCTCCCGCTTCTTGGATTTAGGATGAGGAGTCGCCTCTCGCCCTTGAACTGGCTTCCTCTTCAGTGAAGTGGAAGGTTTTTTGGCCGACTGCTCTCTGACTGAAGCAGGCGGCTTTTTGTTGATCAATTCTTGAATCTCTCCCTTGAAGTCCCTCATGAAGGTCATGAGTTCGTTCCTTGAGATGGGAGCAGACCCATCAATCGGTTGTTGCCGAGCAGGCGGTGCGCCTGCTGGCTCGCTTCCTGTTTGAAGATGCTCCCGTTCCCCCCTTTCGGTATGACGGGTACGTCGGGCCCTTAGGGTCCCGTCTGGAGCTGTATGAGTTTCCACTTCAAATTCACTTTCGGTGTCATGGTCCGACTGAACTTGAGGGTCGCTTAGGGGACGCCTCTCTTCAGGAGTCGGTACAGACTTGGATGCCATCTCAGAAGTACTCTCCCCACAGACGGCGCCAAATGTTTCGGGGTTTTCTGATGTCCTGCGGGAGAGTTACAACACCGAGACTGGAACCGGCCGCCTGTACCTGCAAAATAACGGAGACCCCTGAGAGCTCCGCCTCCAACGGTCAAGTTAGTACCTGATTAAGGAGTAATTAATACGGAAATTAAAGTGGTTTAGTCTCTCTAGGTGAGAGTGTTTAATGTATAATCCGTGTGTTATTAGAGTTCTCTCCTTTTTTCTCTCTCTTCTTAATGAGGATTAAGAAGAGTATTTATAGTCTTGAGAAGCGTGCCACTCTCTAGGTTTAGGGTAAACCTAGGGCTGACCGGGCCTCTAAACAGGATTGGGCCTTGGTGGCCGGTTTTCCCATTTGGCATGGGTGGACACGTGGCGTGTCTCAATTGGTCCGCAGAGGACGTATCTGTGATTGACACGTGGCAGGCTCCTATTGGCCTACGTGAAGGACACGTGGCGGAACCTGGTTGGTCCACTTGTCAGACGGTGATTGGAGGATAAAAATCCCCTAATCAATTAGTACATCATATTAATTGACGGGAGGGTAGAGATATATTAAAGAGTCAAATCACAAATGTAGGTTTGAAAAATATAATATTAGTGTACATCACTATGACTCGCAGTTGTAAACGATTCAATAAATAATTGTTCAATCATGTATTTCTTTTTAGGTGTTCATTTGTGAACAAAGCTAAATTTTCTTCTCACTTATAAACAAAAGGAAATCTAGCTTAGCCGCCACCATTTTGTGCATAGCATTACATGATATCTTTTGATGAAATTAACAATAACTTTAAAATTATTATATACATATAATGACCCGGGGATATAATGACCCGGGGCATCGCCCGGGCCATACACTAGTTGTCACGGTCGCTCTGGGTCGACCTAGGCAAGAGCGTCGACCACCTATGCGTGCAAGGCCTTCGGGATCTCACTTGCCTACGCGAGCAAGTGTGTGATCGGTTCAAGGGGAACGAGCCAAGTGAGGCTAAGATAGCACACAACCATGTCTAAGGCTTGTGAGGTTATAGGGATAAACCCCAAGTGCTTAGGCCATGGTGCTAGCAAGAGCTTGATCAGCTAGGCCTTGGGCCTATGGCTAGCACGCGCATGCGCGCATCAAAAGAACCTCGGAGTATTTGGATGAGCAAAACTCCAAAACAACCTTTGATATTGATTGAGGGGACTTATTAGGACCCTAATAGATCATACATGGCCATAGGGCCAAGGTTGGGTTCAAGGGTTGAGCCCCAAAGCCCATTATTGTGTTACTGTCAGTTAGGTGTTCACTAGATTTTCAAGGCCAGATCAAAATAAAGCTCTTTAGGGGGCAAGTGCTCACTTAAGGGTTAGTGGCTGACCTAAGGGTGACCCTATGGCTAGGAGCCTTGGGCATAGTCTTGGACATAGGATGGCCTATGGGGACTATAGCACACATGGATGGCTAAGGTGAACACTCGATAGAATAAACCGACTCGATAGTTCCGACTAGGGCGGATACGGGGTGACCAGCAGGGGCCTATGGCTTAGTACGGTGCATGCTAGCTCGACAGTGCGTGGTTTGACAAAGGGATTCTCTTGAGATTATGTGTGGATGTCCTTATGGTCCACTACGATGGTGGAGACCATGGGGGCTCCCGCATGGAGGATCAAGTACGACCTAGTCAGCGATGACTATGGTTCCTACGATGGAACCATGGACTTGCGTGGCCATGGGCTGGATACTAAGGAAAAGTCTTGGCTAGTAGAATGGACTTGCGTGGCCATGACTATGCTTCCCTTAGTGGACTATTTATAGTAGGGACTCCTTGACGGTTAAGCTTAGTCATCGTGGCTAGCATGCGATTGCCTTGATTCTAGGGATTGGCTGAGCAGTGGAGCTAGTGGGCGATTGAGGTAACCACCCACGTTACACCACTCTTCCTAAAATGTCGGAACGGTTATGCTGAGGTGGCACGTGGCTAAGTATGATTCCTAAAATATAGGACCATGATGTTAGTGGGTTGACTAACGGTTATCTTGACCCGGACTTTGACCGAAGTCAAACGGGAACGCGGCAAAGCCATTACTAAGGCGGTTCCTATAAAATAGGAGCACCAGAGTAGTGGGGAGTTGCCTAGGACGTGGGTAGTTATTCCAAGAGAGGAATGCCACGTCACATGACAATTATGCCACTCACTTAGTGTTCCTAAAAAATAGGAGCACTATGGGGGAGTGGATAATTACCTGGCCAAGCGGTTGTGTGCCACATAGGCATACTGATGCATGCCTCCTAAAATGTAGGAGCATGGCATATTGGGGCTTGATGGTTACTTGACGGTTATGAGATCATGTTGAACGTGGATAACTCCCCTTGGTACGTGGACAAGTCCAGATGCATCCAAGTAAACATGCAAGTAGTGGGCAGTTACTACATTATGGGTGTAGTGGCCATAGTGGGCAGTTACCCTAGCTTACTGGGATGTAGTCAGTGCCTTTAAATAGGCCAAGACATTCATTTGCCGGGTAGTGAATTTTGGGAGCTTTAGAGAGAGAAACTCCTTGTATTTGTAAGCCACGAAAGTAATAAAGTGTTCTTACCTTGTGTTGGTACCTGTCTCTTATTTGTGTGCATGTGTTATTATTCTTTGAGTGTTAGGCTGGCCGAGACTTGGTTTAGGCGCCATCACGGAAACCTCCTAGGTCCCTAGCTTTGAAAAACAAAAAAAAAAGTTAGTCTACAAATTATCCCGTGACACTGGTTAATTTCAAATTCCATTTCAATATTTTGATGTTACCCCTTATGGTCTTATCCTACCACGGGAGTTCTTTTGTGTTCATTGGATAATTTTATCGAAGCCAAAAAAAATCCAATAATTTCACTACAAAAATGAGACCAAAAAGAGAGGACAAAAGAGCCCAATCCTCTCCACCAAGAAACAGAGGACGCACCACCACCAGCTCACCGTCGCGCGCCTCCAGAATTTCCCCTCCGTCAGCTTCACTCTCCGACCAAACCACCTCCGAGTTGATCACTGAGTTCGAAGAATACCGAGTCACTGAAACTTCTGAGTACAACCCACGAAGCTTCCCTTACAGAGTGAAGCAACAATGCTGGGAAAAGGCAGAGAAAGTCAACGGTCGAGACCCAAGTCGTTGGAGAAGGGACCCACTTGGGAATATCGTCTTCCGCAAGCTTGTTGGTTGCCCTGGGTGCTTGTGCCATGACTATGACCACATTCTTCCTTATTCCAAGGTATATTTTTTCAATTGAATTGAAATTTTTAAGAACAATTTTACCCTTCAAATTGTTATTTAGCTTTATTTGTTGCTCTAATTTGATGGGTATTCTTGAATTTTTAATCTTTACTGTTGTTGGTTGATCTTATTATAAATGAGATGATATATATCAATGTACTTCTAATTTAGGTATGTGAGGGAATTTATGTGATTTTGATTACTTTGTGACTGTTGCTTAAGCTTAACTGCTGCATTTGTGGCTGCTCTGATGTTTCATTATCCGAAATTGAAATCGGCTTTGCCCCATTTTTTCAAGTGTAAGTTACCTAACATAGTTATGATTGGTTGTAGTCCATTGCCTAATTAGCTCAATTCCTGAATGGAATTCATTTCACAAGAGATAATGTACCAAGGTATTGTATCGAGCAATAACACAACTCACACAAGGTATAGTGTAGTTGTAGGTCTAGGTGTTGAAAAAGGTCACATTACTTCGATTATGTTTAATTGGCAACAGATGATGGTGCACGAAAATATTCAAGATATTTGTGCTAAGAAATACAATTACTCATATAAATGTTTCTATACTTTCTATTCAAACCTAATTAATGAAGATGTAGAGGCTTTTGAAATTATATTGGCTCTAGATATGGTGAGAGAAGTTGCAAATCAAGAAATGCAATAATACAATATTAGATGGATATGATAGATTGGTAACATCTCAACTCTTTGCCTCTACCTTATCAAACTTACAGAGCCGAACCTAGTAGGGATCAGTCTATGAGTGAGTTACATCCAAACTTAGAAGAGTTGGAGATGGATGACAACAAAGATGATGAATGTGGTGATTTAGAATAACTAGTAATATTCCTGAGTTAAGTTCATAATTAGAATGTTGACAATCCTCATCATTTATTGATATGGCTAGGTTTAGTGGATAATTACAATTTAGACATACAAATTATTCACTACACCTAGCCCTTCAGATAACTTGTTATTTTGTCTTCTCATTTATCGATTTTGTTTCTACTCATCACCAAGTCATCTCTAGGTTTGGATCTATCCTCGTATGTAGTTCATTCAAATGATATCATGTTTGTCCAATATTGTATTTCTTGATGTTGCTTCTCTTGTATAATCTTTGGGATCTACAACAATGTCGATAGCATTTTCATTGAAAGGGGTTGAGTTGGGTGGTTTATAGTTGTCTTTTTTCTGTGTGCGAATCTCATCAATATCTTTGTCCACCATCATCTATATTCATTGAAACATATGAAATTGTCTCTATCCTCAACTTGCACTGTAATGCCTTGGTAAAATTTTTTGTATGAAATCCTATCCATGAAATTTAACAAATTAGACAATGAACTCTAATTGACTATTAACTGTTGGATAACCCTATTCTTTTGAATTGCTACACGATCCTTCGTTTCAATATTCATTCTCTGCATCTTTCAGATCTCCGTCAAAATTCTTCCAGATCTCCCTCAAAATTCTACTATGTTCATATATCTCCTTAGAATTGACTGGAGAGGAGAGATTGGTTGAATAGACTCTCTAGACATTTACATGTATCAAAATATTCAATAACACACAGCAAACATCTTTACTGCCAGCCCACTACCATGATTCCCCTCAAAATACCACTTTGATCATCCGTTTTGCCTCTAGCGTCTTTACTAGTATGCATTAGACTTAATAGTAGAAGTTTCGACCTTTTTTATATTCTACAGTAAAATCTTATTCTGGTTACTAGACAATGACTTGACTAAACCCATTCTAGCTTTAATGATTATTGTTAGATTTGAAGTTGTTTTTTCTTTTTAAAATAATTGGCCATATTACTTTCTAAGCAATCTAAATGTAATCACATTAGGGAAAATGCTACTAAATCAGGAATGAATAAGAATGTCAAATATTATAATGTACTGACTACTGAAAGTAAACAGTGGAGAGCAGATTCAGAAAGCCTGGATCTAAGGCTCTACGCTTGCTTCAGTGATCTTTTTGAAAGAAAACTCCCCTGTTCTGCCTAGTACACTGAAAAACTGTTTGCGAACACATCCCTGTCTTAGGATTTGAAAACCTATTGGCACTCTCGTCTGCAGCAAAGAGAGCTCTGAACCATTAGAAATCTCATGCCTAAAAATAATGTGATCTATTGTTTTTAATATTATATTTGTGAGCTGCAATTGTGTATGAGAAAACAGACTTCTGTTGAGAAGTATAATAAACTATTATGAGAAACATGAAAAGATAGAGCATGAACTTTTTACATGCTTCTGGTCTTTCTTTTGCTGAGTACGTATAGCAATAAAGTATTTTACAGACTTGTTGATGCTACTTGACTCTTTTCAACCTTCTCATGCCTACTCTTTTGCTAGTGCTTTCTAAGTGTTTTTTATGATTATGCCACAAGACTTTCCCAACTAATCTTGGATTCGCCCAAGAGTTTGCTTTAAATAAATATCTAGTTAAAGTCTTATTTTCTGTGAAGCAGCTAAGAACCGGCATAGTGGGCAACTTAGCATGATTCAAAATGTCTGTTCAGAGAAACTTATCCCAGGTTTTTAGCTAATCAATATCTTAAACCATAAGTCAAAAACTAAGGCATATTATTGAAGTTGTTTTAACTCTTCAGCTACTTGCTCAAGATAAGCTAGACAACACAGCTTTGGCCATGAAAAATCTCAACAATATAAGTTGATCATTAGGTTTTTTTTTTTTTTTTTTTTTTTTTTTTCTTTTTCTTTTTTCTCCCTTTTCAATTAGCCAGATACACATAGCCAAATCAACTTGGTCCAAGAGCTTTAATGGAAATTGAACGTGAAGCCTACGTAAATTTAGCCAATGATCAGATTGTTTAACAGTTCATTTAGAAATTTTAACAATTTGATCATGAGGCCAATCTTAAGTTCTTAAGTAAGTCATCATATTCACCAATGATTTTCTTGATCTAGGAGCTGAATTTGAGAATTTGGAATTGTGTTTGGTATGTAAAGTAATTTTGAGGCCGAGTTTGAATTAAACTAACTGAATCAGGTAGCATCTTAAACTCTTATAGCAATCCTTGACTTGATGTAAGAGCTGAGTTGGGACTTATGCGCTCATGATGCAACTTAATTGTAAGGCTAAATGTAATTAGGCCAATAACTTTAGCCAAAGATTGACTCGATCTAACATAGAAGAGCTTTGAGGTAGTGATAAGTTTATTATTAGGCATCTAAGCCTATCTTTAGCGTATGATCATTTTCGCCTGTTTGTGTTTTTCTTGCCTTGCCATAGTGCTTTATAAAATTGAGTATGTAGAGGATGGAGAGTAAAATAGTCTTATACATGTCCAATTTTATAAAAAAAGTCATTGTGAGCTATTGTTACGTGCTCTAACAACACCAACTCACCAAGTTATTTCAAATGCAACCCAATTACAAAATTTTCTTGTAAAATTCTATTGAGTTTGCAGTGATTTTTAATAGTGCAATAATTTATCATGTGTGTGTGCGCGCGCGCGCGTGTGTGTGTGCGTGCGTGTGTGCGCGTGTGTGTAGGGGGTGGGGGGGCTTTGCACATAATTGATTGCACGCTTTATAAAGAGATTCCAGTGACTAAATCCAAGTTTTTAATTTTCAACAATATTGGTCAAGATCGTTGCTTGGAACTTAAAAGTTAAAAAGTGTACCTGTTGAATCCCCTTCATTGCACGTGTGAGTGGTTCCACTTTAAGGAAGAGGAGAGAACAGAACCGCTTTATAACTATTACCAGCTTGAGGATTTATTCCTATTACCAATTGGTTTTAGAATGGGACCTCCTTTGATCTTGTAGATGTCCAATTCTCCTCCTCCGTATTGGGTTTCTCAAACCTGTTTTATTTTCTCTAAAATTTTAACAATATCCCTCTCCGATAAGTTATTATGCATACAGTGTACCTGATTTAGTACTGTAGATCAGAAGTTTAAGGAATTGCAGGTTATAGTCTCTCGTCTTTGTTTACTTATCTGGGCCCTATTATTCACTTTTTGTCTCTATAATTGATCTTTGTTATTCAGCTAGGAGATCTTTAGTTATTGGTTTGGAAACAGAGTGCTTTGTTGTGAACCTTATATGAGCTTATTTTTATTTTTCATTGATCGTATTTGATATTGTTCTTATCAGATGCTTTTATTTTCAGGGGGGAAAAAGTACGCTGGAGAATTGTCAGGTTTTACAGGTACTCTAATCTTGTGCATATGAAATATACACATTTTTTTTTTCTTATTTCTTCCAACCATGTGTTGCACATAGTGCGTGCATGCATTTGTTCCCCCCCCCCTCTCCGCAAATCTACACTTCTTAAAATTTTGTGTGCTTAGCTGATTGCCTTACGAATTTGATGAGCAACATGTGGTGTGAGTACGAAGTTATCTGACTGACCAGACAGAAAGCCTTGAGAAGGCTAAAATAGTGGGAATGGCACCAATGAAGCAGAAAGGGGACTTAAAACTATGTTACTCAGATCTAATTTTAAGTGTTTGTGTGTAGATTGAGGCGTCTTACATTTTAACAATTAAATATAATGACATGAGAACTTGCTCAATGATCTCCTAACTCTGGGTAAAAGTGTAGAGTTAATAAATATTATTACACCTCAAAGCCTTTACATATTTTGTTCTTAACCCCCATCTATGATGTTGGAATTAGCTCTTTTGCATTGTGGCTGACTTGCAAGAAGTAAATAACAAACGATCATACTTCTTAGTGCTTCCAAGAGCAAATCACACATAACTTAGGGTGTAAAATGAGCTGTCAAGCCTGTCATGTCAATATGAGCGTATTAGGCCAAATGAAGAGTTAGAATATTACCAGGAGAGATGCCTAGGATTTCGACATTTTACTAAAAAAGTGTGATAGCAACAACATTTGGCATTACCCTTTTATAATGTTAGGCTTTGGAGACAGCCCTTAAACAACTTAATTGGTGCCTTGGTGGCAGCGCTATCAATGGTAAGTCCTAGTTTGTTTTGTGTGCCTTTTGTTGATGAAATGTTTAGATGTTGTGGTGGCTGCATATCATGTCACTTTCACTTCATCATTTCATGCAACCTTTCCACAACTTTATTTTATTGGCTTCCTCATGTTGGAAGTTGAAATGTAGCTCTTCAGAATTTTAGTTCTCAGAATCTTCTCACTATCTCGAACAACATTGATCATGTATGTGCTATTCATCATGTCAGGCTACTGTTAATCGCTCGAAAGGGAATCGAACTGACATATCCAGAGCAGATCTGATACAAAAGAGTTCCTATTGTCGAGTTTCAGGTATGTTGATATCTGTATTCTGCATTCGGTTTATTAGACGCATAAATTATTCTGGTATTCTGGTCATATCTTGTGGCATTTGCGCATTTCACTTGCATGATTTTAGGTGCTACTAAGTACATTGAATGAATGCAGTCTGAATCATGAATGTGTTGTTTGTCAATATTTGTGGAGATAGATATTCTTTTTTCTATCCCAATCCATGCTTTATATATTGGGTTTCTGCTGATCTTTCGTATAACACCCCCTGTAGCTTCCTGTTTTTCTTGAGGTTTTGAGAATTTCGATCCTTGATTGAATCAAGTAAATGACTGAAACCTCATTATTGTTACTATTCTGGAACAAATTTGCAGGCCGTGACATGGACCTCCTTGAGTTGTCGGCATTTGGTAATGTCCGTCGAGGAGAAGATTCAGGTGGATGTAGAATTCAGTAACACTGAATGGTAGCAAAGAGGTTCTCGTGTTATATGCTCATAAAACATTCTTAGTTCCTCCTTGATGCTCACGGAGTCATGGTTCATCGAGGAAAAGATTCAGGTGTATGTAGAATTCAGTAACAACACAAAATTGATGTTCTTCTCGCGTTTTATGTTCATAAAACAATCTTAGTTCCACCTTTCATTAGGAGATGATCATTACCTAGCATTTAGCAAAAGCTGTCGTAACTTGTATACTCTGATTAGATTATTTCAGGTGTATACGTGATGTCTGATGAATGTGATGATGCAATTGTTTATAGGTTTAAAATAATATTGTAATTACTGTTAATAATTTTATTTTTTTTAAAAAAAATAATAATAATAAAAGTCCTGCAATTAACCCCTCAACTCTTATATTTTCGACCAATTTTTAGTAAAATGATGGCATGACTGGAACTTTTTAGCTTTCACACATACTTACGTGATGGAGACTTAGAGAAGCATGATGATATGGAAAGAACCATGAAAATTAAAAAGAAAAAACTCAAAAAGTGATTTAACTTTGACCAGGAAAAAATTACAAGAATTAACTCTAAAATCTAAATTGAAATTCTAATAAGAGGAAAAAAGTTACAGTACTATGTGCGAAGTAAAAGATAAGATTAGAAAGGTTGACTTATATGAATGATCTTTATGTGTGGATTTTCATTGAGAAGTGTTTGACCATCTTTGTTGCATACTCTACTTTTATATTTTAATTTTTTTTGTTAATATTTTAATAAATATTGATAAAATGGAACATAAAAATATAGCAATTATCAATGAGGTTTTGACCTATAGTCTGAGTAACTATGTTTATATGATAGGTTAGAGGTTCAAATCCAATATCGTAATTTATACCACCTTATGGATCATTGGCACTTTTAATAAAATAAAAATGAAAAATTAAGTAGGTAGATATCAACTTTTAAATGAGGAGGTTTATGATAAACAATAAGTCTTGTGTAAGGCGGATTTACGTTAATCTTATTGTAAGACGGTTAGTTTGAGGGTAAATTTAACGATTTTTATGATAATTTTAACCACTTAAAGGGTTACTTTTAATTTATCGTTGGTTTGAATTTTATTTTAATGTGTAATTTCTTATAGATTCATGATTACATACTATAAAGGCTAATATAATTAATCTAATACATTATAAGTTTTTTGTAAGATAAAATTTATTATTAAAAAAATAATAACTTTTATAATATAAAGGGTAACTTTAAATACTTTTATGATAACTTTAACCCGTCTTACAATAATAAATTAACGTATACCTGCTTTTTTGGAGAATTTGTGTATGATAAAATCATGCTATGGGTGGAGTAATTAAGATAAGGAATGGTGGATCATGTATGGATGTAGATGTTAAGAAAATAATGAAAATTTTCTATTTAATCAAATTTGAGAGAGAAATAAATTACATAAACAAAATGTCTATCTATACCAAAGTGCAAAAAACACAACCCCTCTTATCTCTGAGTTATTTTTCTTCTCTCAGATTTTCTCTTGAAAAATTATTACATACAAATGAAGGAAATGCTCAATTTATAGTTTTCCTAAAACAACCTAAGCCATTTAAAATTTAGCCTGCAATATTTATTATCATTAGTTATTTTTCCCTATATTTGGAAACACCTTTAATTTTCAATGGTAATGCATGGTTATTTAATAACCATTTTTTTTTTTCTTTATGTTTCTTAATTATCTGCCAACAATCTCCCACTTGAAGACTGATTTCAATCTGTCTTCACACCAAGGAGTAGAACCTCAACTAGTCTTCTGTCATTTTAAGACCAATTGATGTTGAGCACAATTTCAACTTGTCAATCGTCACTGTTTTCGTTAACATGTCTGCTGGATTCTTACTGCCAAGAATCTTTTTAAGAGTTAACACTTCATCTTCTAGAAGAGACCTGATAAAGTGATAACAAATACCGATGTGCTTTGTTCTTGAGTGAAACGCCGAATTCTTTGCTAAATGTATAGCACTCTGACTATCGCTATACAAAATATTATTCACTTGTTTGAACCCCAGCTCATCTAACAAACCTTGAAGCCATATCATCTCTTTACTAGCTTCGGTCACTGCCACATACTCAGCTTCTGTAGTGGATAAAGCAACAATCTTTTGTAGTTGGGACATCCAACTTACGGCTGTATTTCCAACTGTAAATACATAACCCGTTGTGCTCTTTCTATTATCGACTTCACCGCCAAAGTCTGCATCAACGTAACCTTGTATTTTCAATTCACCTTTACCAAAGTACAAACACTTATTAATTGTACCTCGTAAATACCTCAAAATCCATTTAACAGCTTCCCAATGGACTTTTCCTGGATTGGACATAAACCTGCTTACAACTCCCACTGCATGTCCAATATCTGGTCTTGTACAAACTATTGCATACATCAAACTTCCAATAGCCGAGGCATAAGGAACCTTGGCCATATATTCTTTATCTTCATCTGTCTGAGGGGACTGATCCTTTGATAGACGAAAATGACTCGCCAACGGTGTACTAACAGGCTTAGCATCACCCATATTAAATCTCTGAAGAACACGTTTGATGTACTCTGATTGTGATAACTGCAAAGTGCCTCTCTGCTTATCTCTTGTGATTTGCATTCCTAAAATCTTCTTTGCTGGACCCAAGTCCTTCATGTCAAATTCCTTTGACAATTGATGCTTCAACTTTATAATATCATTCATATCAGAACCTGCTATTAACATATCATCAACATAAAGTAATAGGATGATATAACTGGATTGATATCTCTTGAAGTAGCAACAGTGGTCAGCGTTGCACTTCTGGAAATCTTCCTTGTGCATGAAGTTATCAAACTTTTTGTACCATTGTCTTGGGGCTTATTTTAGCCCGTATAAACTTTTCTTAAGTTTGCATACCATGTGCTCTTTCCCACTTTTTATAAAACCTTCTGGCTGGTGCATGTATATTTCTTCATCAAGATCTCCATGAAGAAATGCAGTCTTCACATCTAACTGCTCGAGATAAAGATCTTCAATTGCAACAATACTCAACAGTGTTCTAATGGTATTGAGTTTCACAACAGGAGCGAATATCTCATTATAATCAACTCCTTCTTTCTGTTGAAAACCTTTGACAACTAGTCGAGCCTTATACCTCTTGGAATCATCATGCTCCTTTTTTGCTCGATATATCCATTTGTTATGAAGGGCCTTCTTACCTATGGGTAACTCAGTTAGTTCCCATGTCTGGTTTGAAATCAGGGATTGCATTTCATCTTTCATTGCAAGCCCCCACTTGCTAGCATCTCTGGTCTGGGATGCTTCATAATAATCTTCTGGTTCCCCATCATCAGTTAATAACAAATAATTCATATATTTTCTATTAGGCACATGTGGTCGAGTACTCTTTCTTAGGGTAGGAGTTGGACAAGAAGGTTGTTGTATGTCATTTGATTGCGATGTACTGCCCTGTACAGTCTGTTCTTCTTGTTGCGGAGTACTTATGATAGTGTACTCTTGCATCGTACTGTCTGGGACATAATCTTCATCAATGAATGTAGATTCTTTTTTATTTGTTTCATAACTCTCAATTTTCTGCCTATCTTTGTACATGACTCTCTCATTGAAAATTACATCTCTTGAACGAATAATCTTTTTGCTTTCATCATCCCAAATGCGGTATCCGAACTCATCTTCGCCATAACCGATAAAAGTGCAAACTTTTGATTTAGGATCAAGCTTATTTCTGCCTTGATCACTAATGTGCACATAAGCTACACAACCAAATACCTTTAAGTGCGACAATTTGATCTCTTTGCCGCTCCATACCTCCTCTGGTAATTTGTACTCCAATGGGGTTGATGGTCCTCGATTGATCAAGTAAGCTGCTGTATTGACTGCTTTTGCCCAGAATTGTTTTGGTAGACTTGACTGTATACGAATGCTTCTGGCTCTTTCTGTCAATGTTCGGTTCATCCGCTCAGCTATGCCATTATGCTGAGGCGTACCTGGCACAGTTCTTTCCATCTTAATACCATGCTCGTAGCAAAACTTCTTGAATTTGGTGTCCTCATATTCTCCGCCATTTTCGGACCTGAATCTTTTGATCTTCAGACCTGTTTCATTTTCAACCCTAGCTTTCCATATCCTGAAAACTTCAAACACTTCGGACTTGTATTTTAGAAAGTAAACCCATACTTTCCTAGAGTGATCATCAATAAAAGTCACAAAGTACTGTTTTCCACCTATAGACTGGGTGGTTGTTGGTCCCCACACATCAGAATGAACAAGCTCCAATTTTTCTTTCATTGGAGTTCTTCCATATGTCTGAAAGCTTAGCCTCTTCTGTTTTCCAAGTATGCATTCTTCACACATGTCTAAATTCACAGATTTTAGACTAGGGAGTTTTCCAATTGAATGCATGATCTTCATTCCTTTCTCACTCATGTGACCAAGTCTTTGGTGCCATAACTTGGAATTTTCATTCTCTGTTGCAACTGCAATCGAATAACACGCTCCAGCTGTCAAATAGAGAGTACCATTCTTTTTACCATGAGCAACTATCATTGCTCCCTTTGAAATCTTCCAATTATCACCTTGAAAGATTATAGTGTAACCTTCACGAGCCAACTGCCCAACTGAGATCAAGTTCTTTCTTAAGTCGGGAACATGTTTCACATCCTTCAGCTCCCAAGCTGACCCATTTAACTTAATTTTGACATTACCTTGACCAACAATATCACAAGGTTGGTCATCACCAAGGTATACCTGTCCAAGGTTTCTACGGACATACTTCTCAAAAAAGTTTTTATTAGAAGTAGCATGGAACGATGCTCCAGAGTCTAATACCCAAGACTCTTCTTTGCTCTCCAATGAGCATATCAACGCATCATCACCTTCTCCGGTAGAAGTGACATTTGCCTCTGCCTTCACTTCTTTGCCTTTTGGTGTTCCCTTGCACTGATTTTTATAGTGCCCAATCTTTCCACAATTCCAACACTCCACAATCTTTGAGTTTTGGAAATTATTTGGATTCCTGGATTTTGACCTCCTATCTCTGGATTTTCCTCGATAGTTTGATCTTCCGCGTTCATTCCTTCTGATTAAATTTCTTCCTCTTGACTCTGTATGCAATACTGAAGAAGATGAAGATTCACCTGATTCTCTTCGTCGAATCTCCTCACTAAGAACCAGATCACGAACGTCATCAAACTTCAACTTGTTATTTCCCGATGAGCTACTCACAGCTGTGACTGTAGCATTCCAACTATCTGGCAGGGAAGATAAAAGTATTAACGCTAATACTTCATCATCAAATTTGATTTCAACATAACTCAATTGGGTTGTGACATAATTGAGTTCATTAA